ACAAAGTATCAAGATCTCTGCATTAAATATTAATAATTGAATCTTTTCTATAATTTTAAATCTTATTTGTTCCATTAAATTAACATAATAAACCTCCTTATTAAATTTCAATGGTTACATTTTGATAAGTTGAAAAATTTATTGAAGGTTCTAATGTTACCATTTAAAAAGTATATGCAGTTCTAGGGGTTAATTTATAAGTCTAAATTGTATAATTAAAATAATTTTCACGAATTTTGGCTGAATAATCTACTCTTGATGATCTAGAATTTGAATTATTTCTGGAAATTTCTATTAATGATACTTAATATTAAGTATTGTCATTCTAAAGTTCATTTGAACCAGAACAATCTTTTTTCTAAATTTTAAACCGTAAATCAATAATTTCAAATGTATAATATTATTTCTTTCCTTACCACAAAACTGTAGGAAATTATCCAGAATGAGTTTCAACTTTAATTTAATATTATGCTGATTTCTTTAAAAAATTTTGAATATCAACAAAAAATATTATTTTAGATTATTTTGGTAGAGTTTAAATTGGAATTATTAAATCTAATAATTGTAGTTTGGTTTAATCAAATAAAAACTCTTCAAGATCACCATTTCCATTTTCCCCTTCTACTATATATGACCATGATATGCTCATTAAATTTCTAAGCCCATCTTAACTTTTTGATTTAACAACAATAGTGTTATCATCACATGGATTAAGTAAGTATTAAGGTATATCATATACAATGATTGGTGATACTGGATTTAAAGGAAAACCAACGTTATTCAAAATAAATTTATTTAATTTGGTTTAGCATTCTATATGGCCAATTGAATTAGCTAATAATATTATAGAATCTCCAGGAAGTATGGCTGCATTTGAACCTAATTACAAAATTAATTATTTATAATTTTCTTAATTTAACTTACAATTAGGGTTATTTCCTAATAATTTAATTGTTTCATCAGCTAAAAATTTAGAGCAAATATTTTCTTAGAACTAAGAGTAAAAATAGTTAGGGTTCAATTAAAAATCAAATTAAATTATGATTGCTAATAAATCATCAGATAATCGAATATCCATAACAGCAACTTCACAGTCTATAAAATTTGACTTTAAATAATACTTGAGCACCATGGAGTATCTGAATGGCTTATTGAATCCAAAGGGCAATCACATGTCTTTTCATCTGATATCAATCTGTTGCCATTGCATGTTAAACATCCTTCGAGGTTACAAGTTTTACAATCAGATTCACATATTAGACAGTTTACACTTTGATAATCATCATAAAACCCATCTTAACAATTACAAGTTGGATTATTAATACGATCTCCTTTACACACCAAGCAGTATGATTAATTGGCTTCACATGTTAAACATTAAAAATCACATTCTAAAAACAATTTATAAATTATATTACAAACACATTCAGGTTATCCAGCCTCAAAATAACCTTCCTAACAATCACATGTTTTATTTATTCTGCTACCTTTACAACTTGTGCAATTTGATGATTATTTTTCACATGTACTACACTGATTTTGGCATGCTAAGCAAATATTAAAATTGATTACATTCGCAAGTCTATTATTGATTTTCAAAATATCCTGATTTGCAATTACATGCAGGAGCCCCTTCTCTTAAATTACTAAAACATGTTAAACAAATTGTTGATTTTTAGAAACATGTTTTACATTGATAATTACATTTTTAACATTAGAATTATACTTCATCATCAAAATATCCATCCTTACAATTGCAATTTTAAGTAATAGTTAATCGATTAGATGTATTAGAAATCTTGCAGCTAATACAATTATCTTTTGATTAAATACAACCAGAACATTTAATATGACATTCTAAAGCTTATAAATTTTAATATTTACTTTGACATATTTCATCTTAATCTTAGAAAAAATCATTTAAACAAGGGCATTTATGAATTACTGATTGATCAATTCTATTTTAATTAATATCACAACTAGTACAATAATCCTTTTTTCCTTGACATGTTAAACATGATTTTGAACATTCTTAAAATATAACTTAATATATACTTTCACATATTAGTTAACCATTATCAAAATAGCCAGGTTTACAAATACATTAATTACCATTTAATATTCTAATTTACTCAGTTTCATAACATGATAAGCATTAATTTGAAGTTATCTAACAAATTTTACATAAATTGTTGCATTTCTGACACATTTCAATACCAACATCATAGTAACCATCTTAGCATAGACATTTATTAGAGTTATTTAAAATTCTAAAATATATAGATTCACATGTTTAACATTTTGTTGATTAAGATAAACACGTTTTACATGTTAAGTCACATACTATAATAAAAAATAAATTATACATTAGCATTATTTTTTATTTATTTCGTAATATCCATCTTTACACTGACATTTAAAAGTATCTGGATCTAATTATCTAGTCAAAGGTTCACATTCTATACATTCTAACAAAGTTTAACACTCTTAACATGTGATATTGCATGCTATATTTAAAAAAATAAATCAACTAATATACCTTCACATTATTTATTTAAAGTATTTAAATAATAATTAGACATGCAAATGCATTTATTTTAATTGGATAATTATAAACTTAATGCTAAATCACATGATAAACAAAATTTAGAACTACCTTAACAAGTTAGACAAGATATATCGCATTATATACATTTTTAAGAAGCATCTTCGAAATATCCATCTTAACAAACACATTAATTTCCAGTTTTAAAGATTCTGTAATTATCTACTGAACAAGTTAAACAATAATTTTCTGTATTTATACATGTTTAACAAGTTTAATTGCAAAATTTACATTCCTTATTAACTCCTGTTTCATAAGTACCTTGAACACATTCACAATTATTATTTAGTAATTATTTCATAAGTGGACAGGATTAACAATTTGTTGTTGATTTTAAGCATGTTAAACAAGAGATATCACATTTTTAACAAATTCCATTAATTTCTGTAGTTCCAGCTTAACATATGCATTTTTGAGTAAGATTGTCTAAAACTCTAAATTATGATAAATCGCATTCTGTACAAGTTGAAGGGTTAATCTTACAACTTAAACAACTTTCATCGCATTTACCACAATTTTGCAAACCAGTTTCATAATAATGTGAATCACAATCACATTTATTGACATTTAAATGTCTTGTACTTTCACAAGAGGTACAATAATAAGATTAATTTAAACAAGTTAAACATTAAATATCGCATTATTTACAACTTACAGATACTCCATCATCATAATAACCCATCATACATTAACAAATTCCTCCATTATAAATTCTGAAAGATGTATTTGAATTAACACATGTTTTACATTGATTAAATTGTTAACCAATACAATTAAAACAAGAATAATGACATGGTTAACAAATTTCTACTCCAGCATCATAGTAGGTATCATTACAAATACATAAATTTAAGATACTGTTGAATGATCTTTTTTATGACATTGAACATTTAGTACATCTTGAAGCTATTTAAGAACAAGCATAACATGAATAATGACATTCTAAAAAGTAATTATATAAATATTACTCTAACAAATAGGATTGATTCCATCATCATAATATCCTTCTGGACATACACATTGTGAATTGATTAACCCTCTAAGACTTAAAGGAGGGCAAGTTAAGCATAAAGTATCTAATACTGCACATGATTCACATCGATAGTTACATTCTAAAATAAATCATATTTCATACAAGAACATTTTGGTTTGCCAATATCAAATAAATTAGTCTGACAAATGCAAGATGTTCCTTATTAAATTCTATAATCCTGATCCCAACAGTTAATACATTCTTTAGATGAAGGACCTGAACATGTTAAACAAGAATAATGACAAACTTTATTCACTTAATTTAATACCTTGACATTATAACTTTTTTATCACCTAGTATGTAGAAACTAAAGAGCCTTAAAGTTTAGTTTTACAGAAACAAGTGTTTCCATCTAAATATTTTTCTGGTTGGCATGAGGTACAATTATCTGGAGAATCAATACAACCTAAACAGATACTACTGCAAGCTAATAAATAAGATTTTGATTAATTACCCTAACATTCTAATTATCCATTATCATAATATTTATCTCCGCATAAGCATTCACCTTTATCATTAAGTTCTCTTCCCGACAACGGATTGCAAGAGCTGCATTAATTTGATAAATTCCCTATGCAAGTTAAGCAAGTATTATGACAAACTATGATCCTAATAATAATTACTGATGCATTTAGGATTATCTGGTTAATCATAAGATTTAAGTGGACACGAACATGAATGATCAACGCCAAGATCTCTTTAAGAAAAATCTGGGCATTTGTCGCAATTATCAATTGATCCACTACATGATGCACATCTATAAGAACATTCTAAAATTAAATTATAATTAAATAATATACTTAAGCAATTAAGATCTCCAATTTATTTTTCTAAATGTCCATCTTTACAAACACATTTATTTGCTTTAACAATTCTATTACTTTAAGTATAACAGGTGAGGCAATTATCAATTTAAGGACCAAAACAAGTCATACAAGTATAATGGCATTCTTAAATTAAGATATAATATTACATTAACATTGTAATTAACCAACATCATAGTATCCATAAAGACAATCACATTTAGATATTATTAATTATTTATAGTTTAAATCACAAGTTAAACAATTAGTATCATAAATTCCATTACATGTTTTACAAGTAAAATGACATTCTAAACACTCTAATTAAAATTGATCACTATAATAATGTGAATCTCTGCATAAACATTTAAATGTTGATCCGATTCTGTCAGGTTATCTTGTAGATGGACAACTAATACATTAATCTTCTCCAGGATTATTACAATCTTAACAAGAGTTATGACAACCCACTAAATTATAATCTATATAATTACAATAACAAACAATATCATTTTTTCCAGTATCATAAAAAGTTTAATTACATTTACATTCATTATTTAATGTTAAATGTCTATTAGATTCACTTGAACAAGTAACACAATTAGTTGATAAAGGTCCATTACAATTAGTACAAGTATAATGGCATTCTTTGTATAAAAATATAAAGTACTAAAGCAAATATCTAGAATTCCATCTTCTCCATATCCATTTCTACAAACACATTTTAAATCATCAGATAAAATCCTATTTTATCCAGCTATACACATTGTACAATATTAATTTGCAGAATTATCATATGGGAATTAGCATTTTTCACATATTCGATGACAAGCTAAATAATTAATTTATCATATACGTTAGCATAATGTTTAACCATCTTACTAAATAAGTTCGATTGTT